CCCTCCTCTAGGCTGGTTTCTGCTGCCATTCCTCCCTCCTGTCCCATGGACATTTGGGGGTGGTGGTATTCCCAGCAATGTGCTTTGTCGTCGTAGGTTCACAGGAACGCCAGGATAAACTCCGAGACATGGGAATAGTGGATATTCTACATAAACTGAGTCAGTCATCAGATCCAAATCTGTGTGACAAGTGAGTATAAAGAAAAACCGAAAGAGATGATGAAAGGGAAATCTTTGCTTATGATTACAGAAAAATTCCCCAAAAAACAAAGCTCTGTTGCACGGAGCTTTGCAGCGTAAAAAGAAATGGTGATGAGCCCTTATTTAAGGAGCAGGGTTTGTATTGCTCAGGAATAACGAATTTTACTGAAGTTCTTAATAGTATGAAATAAGTACTCTTAAAATCTTCTAAAGCAATGGAGAGTCCTCTGTGAAATCTCACAGACACACAATATTTGTGTGAACTTGGACTACTGACAAAGTTCCAGAGAGTTGGAACGATGGTCAACTGTCACATAACTCTATGAATTAAAAGGATAATACAGGATCGTCACTAACAGTTGTTAATCTCATTTAAATTCTTTTAAACTAACGAAGCTCAACAGTAGCCTTGCACATACCTGTTCTGTTGCTCCTGTTAGTACTTACACAGATGATCCAGCTGCTTCCCAAGCACATGGAACAGAAACAGCTCAGGATAATTTCTGTGGGTTTCTGTTTACTTTTTGCAATTATCCCACCTACACTTAGTAACAACTCCTGTTTCTTCCACAAACTAAAGGAGATGATCTGATTTTTGGAAGAAGTCACACACAGACAACACAACTCAAAACTGTGCATTGTTTTAAAATGCACTGAATTTGGGGTTCTTGGTTTTATGAAAGATGTCCCAGTGTTCTTAGACATCTTTGCAGTGAAGTTAGAGCTTCTCTGTTTGAAATCTGTGGCAGAGAGAGTATCAGCACTGAAGGTGATAATCAGGAATATATTGATACCCACCTCTGCTACACCAGCCCCCTCCATGAGCTTGTGATCACAGCAGGAAACTTGGAAGGAAAAATAAATAATCCTCCTCTGAGTTGCTGAGTTGGAGAAGTTGGAAGAGTCTGTCAAGGTCCCAGTAGCACATTGGGAGCTGTAGGGAACAAAGGAAGAGCAAAACCTCTCACTTCAGGTGGGAGGAAGCCCTGAGTTAGCTGAGGTGATGATGCAGGTGTAACCCCAGACTGCTGGGAGGTGTGTTTTTCTTAACAAAAATGTTGCACAGTGTTAGATCAATCCCAGTGTTAGACTGGCTGCTGCTTCTCTTCTCCCTCCCACCTCATCGGATGTTTTTGGTGGGGGCCAAAATTCCTGACGGGATTCCTGACAGGACTGGTGTGCTTCTGGTGTGTGCTGAGTTGTGACAGCTCTTGGGTTTCTCAGCTCAAAGCCCTGCCTGTCCCAGTGCAGTGTGTGACAAAGCCCCTGCTCTTCCCTGCTCTCCTCAGGGTTCTGCAGGTGTGGGTAACACACAACCCTCAGGTCCCACCGTGCTGGGAGGTGCCTCGGCTTGCACTTGGGTAGATCACCTGATTTTTAGGTGCCAGGTGGGTTCTTCACCAGTCACAGCCCACACAGAGCAGTTCTGCCCCACTGCCAGATTCCTCCAGAGCTGTCCCCTCCCTCCTCCCTCCCCTCCTGGCACAGCGTGTCCACGAAGCCAAACCCTGGTGATTAACGGGCTGTTCCTCCTTGCAGGGCGAAGACAGCACTCCAGCAGTACCTTGCATGATCAAAGACTAATTGAATCCATGGACACCCCTCATGTCTCCTTAAGGAACAGCAGGAGATACTCCTGACTCCTTATATTTGCACAAGTCACCTTGGGCTGCATTTTTCTCAGGTGCAGGGAGCTGCTTTGCAGAAACAGTTCAAATGATCAGGTCTCCAGTGCACTTGAGAACTTTCTTGAGGTAGTTTCTTTACTCAGAGGACTCTCGGGGGGTTGTTTTGGTTTTTTGGGTTTTTTTCCTGAGCTACCTGGACTTTGGATAGAACAATCAGTCATTGTTTTCCTTTTGGGCCTCCAATTTTCTGCTTTTGCTGCAGCCTGTGTGTGTGGGTGTGTGCTTGGGTGTGTGTGTGCTTGGGTGAGTGTGGGTGGGTGTGAGGACTCACTTTTGGTTTTCCTTTTTTTTGTGTGAAAATCTTTTTCTACAGGTTTTCAAGGGTTAACCATTGTTTGCTGTACGAATACTTCAGTGAATTATATACAGTTTGAATGAAATGTTATTTAAAAAAAAAAACCAAACTGTTGTATCCCATAAAGTTTATTTTGAATTTTGAACAGATGAATGTTTTTAAGTAAAATATATGCATTTCTGAACTTCAGCTTAACTTACATTATCCTTCCTTTTTAAAGAGAGAAATAGAGGAAGGCAGTAGACCCCAAATTCCAAGCAGCACATTTTGTACTGACAAGATCAAAGAGTTCTTTACTACAATGCAAGGTCACTGGTACTGATACCATGCTCAAATCCGTGGAATGGGTCAGCTGGATTGGGTTTGGGTTTCTTTACATTTCTAGAAGGCAAGCTCATACTTCAGGGTTAGGGGCACTGTTGGCTTTTCTGGGAAGGAGCACGTGGCTGCAGGATCAGCAGGAATAAGCTTTGCTTTCCTAGCCAGGAACTTGCTCAGCTAATTGCTGAAGGATTGGCTTGTTCAGGGGAGAGGGATTTGCTGATCACTGGTACCAGCAGAGCGACCAGTGTGGTGCAGAATTAATTTGGCAGAGAGCAGAAGGAGCTGCCAAGCAGTGGTTAAGGGATTGCTTTTGTTCTGCATCCTTTGCCTCTGCAAAGAGTTAATTGACTTCCAGATCATCTCCACAAAGGATCTGCTGGGAGCATGAAGTTGGGGGAGGGATGGAAAAAACAGAGCTTTGGTTTGGTTTTGTTTTCTGGCTCAGCAGTGTTGCTGCAGGTCCCTGTACATAGGCAGATACACACTTGCATGGATTTAGATTCCTGGATAACAAGGATGGGGCTGGACTGTGATGGGGTTGGACTGCACCTGGAGGCCTTGACTTGTGCCTGGGATTGTGCCTGGAAGTGTGGAGAAGCAAACATGAGTGCAGACCAAGACTGTGGGAGGTTAGGCTGGAATGGGAGAGCCCAGGGCTTTCCCAGGCAGGTGTGCCTGGAGCAGCAGGGCAGCAGGAGCCTCCTCAGGGGTGCAGTCCAGGGCTCTGGGCCCTTTGGGGTTCAGTTTAGCCCGTGGTTAAGCCAGACTCTGCAGGCACTGTATTTCCACAGCACTAACAGGCACTAGGGATTGCAGCCAATGGCTTAAACCAAATCTTTCTTCTCCTACACTGAACTCTAGGGGGGCTGCAGCAAGAAGAGAGGTCTGTAACTTTGCTAACCAATTTTGATGAGTATCTAAATCTTCTGTTTCTGATCAGAAGGTCAAATTGTGACAGCCTTACTTTTTTTCCAAGGTAACTACTTGTGTCAGAAAATGTGACCACAGTTTGGCCTGGAATTTGAATGTGCTGTGTATCAGATAACTGTTATCACTTGGTTGCAAAGGACAATATCTACATTTCATGTAACTTCTTCCACTCTCAAAGACAAATAAAAGTGAGCACCTGACACTTTTTCCCCAGGCATTGCAGTAAGTGACTGGCAGTTTTTTAATGTCCTTCTGCAAATTTTTCATGATGGACTTTGGGGGTTGGACAAAAGGGAAAGTAAAAATATGTGAGAACTTGTTAAATGTCAGTACCTCAGAAGCAAAAAGTCTTGTTCATAAAATTGAATCAAATATATTTTTACCTGAACTGAGAAGGAGGTTCTGAGGCAGGTGTTGTAAGTGCAAAAGTGTCTGATGTGCTCCGGTTACACTCCTGTGTTTGTTTAGGAGCTCAAGTTCTTCTGTATCTCTTCTCTTCCTTCCCCAACTCACATTTCTAAAAGCAAATCTGAGTTTGATTCTGTAGAACTTCGGTGCCTAAAGGTGTTCAGAAAAAAGGTGAGTAAAAGTATCTCTGTACAAGTTCTGAGGTGGTTTCCTACAATTCTGCCAGAAAAGCTAAAAACCAATGCTCAGACAATCTCGTTGCTGCATGAGAACAGTTGAAGTTTTCCACAGGTATTGAGAGGACAAACTGTGTTGGATGAGGACATTTTTACATTCAGTTAAGCTTTGTGAATAATTTTTGATGTTGCTATAGGTATGTACAAAAAGAAGAATACTGTAAATAAAGAGAACTTTACCAGAACATGGAGATTTTTCTCAGCTTCCTGGAGAAATCTGAGCTCTCTGGGCCTGCCCCTCTGCAGCCTGAGAGTCACAGTGGGAACAGACTTTGCTGGTCACCCAGAGCTTTCCCAACTTAATGAGGTGGCAGCAGCTTGTGAATGCCGGGGCTGTTTGCAGAACCAAAGCAGAGTTTGTCTGGACATCATGTGAATCATCAGGATTTCTGCTCTTCTTGTGCCATTTCTCTGCTGAAACCCCACCCTGATGAATTTTGATAAGTATGTCCTCTCTTTATATCTGGGTCTAGTGCTGGAAGTCCCTCTTGCAGAGGTAACACCTGTCAACAAAGTGAATTTGGGACAGGAGCTGTCAGACAAGTGAGACCTTTGGCTGCTCCCCACCACCTTCATTCCACGTTTGGACTGTCTTTCCCACACAGAAAATCCAGTGAGACACAATCTGGCTGTTCCAGTCACAGATGTGCATTGTGGCAGTGACAGAAGCCAGGTGACCTGCTTAAAGCACCTTGTGCCAGGACCTTCCTAAGGCAAACATTTCACATTTTTTAAAATGTATTTTTCCAGACTTCACCCGTTGCAGCAGCAGCTGTGCCTCCCCAGAACTGCTGAAGCAGTGACACGACAGACAGAGGAATAATTGAGGGGCATGAAATTAGATTCTCGAGTAGAAATGGGTTGTCTTTGGTACTCCTGAAATGGGAGAGGTGTCAATGTGCAGAATTACAGCGGCGGTTGAAATCATCAGGGCTCCTCTGCAGGCTGATTTCAGCAAAAAGAGACATGTTGGGGGCATTGATGTACCAAAAACTGAACCCCCAACCAGGAGGGACCATGGTCAGCTGGAGGATCAGGCCACCACCTCGTGTGCTGCGTGATGAGATGCAGCACAGCAGGGTCTGCCCTGGAGCCCAGGACCCCATGGGCACGGATGGGGTGAGCCAAAACCTGGGAGGGGCTGGGCACTGGCACTGCTCTCGCTGCAAAGAAGGGAAAAACCAACCAGCCTCCCCAAACTGAGCTGTGTTTGGGGCTGGGACAGCAGGTTATCCCCAAACTGAGCTGTGTTTGGGGCTGGGACAGCAGGTTATCCCCTTGCTGGGGTCTGGATCCCACACCTCGCTTTGAGCCCCCAGTTCAGGAGGGATGTGGGATAACTGGAGTGGGGGTGAGTGGTGGAGGGGGGAGCTGGGCAGGGGTGACAGGACAGGGGAGGCAGAAAGGCTCCAAGTGCAGCTGCTGGAGGGGGAGTTCTAGGGGAGACAGAGCTGAACTTCCCAGCTGGAGCGGGCACGGAGGAGGGAGCGGGGCAGGCTGGGCTGACGCGCTGCCCCGGCAGAGCCAGCGCTGCCATGGCAGCCTTGGGGCCCTGCCAGCTGGACACAGGTCCTGGCAGGCCCTGCTGGGCCCATCCCCTTCTCCCACCCTCCAGGCGAGGGGGACAGGCTCCTGTGTCTGGAAGCGAGCGGCAGTTCAGGCCCTGCAGCAGCACCTCGACTCTGTGAAGGTAAGAGCAAAGCTGTGCCCAGATTTTGGGCACTGCTGAGCCACCCCCTGTCCTTGCAGCAGGGCCAGGGTGCTGCTGTGGGTGCTTTGTCCTGGGTGGAGGGTCAGAGCCAGGTGAAAGGCTCTCTCTATGGTGCAGGTTGGCCAGCAGTTGGACCCACGGGATCAGAGGACGTCGGCAGTGCTTGCGCTTGGAGGGCTGCTCACAGGATCCTGTTCCTGCAGAGGGATGGCTGCAAAGAAAAAGGAGGTAGAGCTGCAGGTCAGTAGGAGCCAGGCTTTTGAAAGACCTTGTAAACTCATAGTTAAGTGCAAAGGATGAAATTCAGTCTGGAGGTATCTCAGATGCTGCTGGCAGAGCCCTGCTGTGAGGTCCCTGGGGTGGAAAACATTCCTGAAGGCAGGTGGGAACAACGGGGAGGCCTGGCAGGTCAGATCTGCCCCTTGTCAGTGCTGTGGGGGCACAGGGAGGTGGTTGTGGGGCTGCAGGTTGTGTTCCAAGCTCTTAAGGGCTGGCACAGGTTTGGCTGCTGTCAGAGATCAGAATGCATCTGTGTTTCATGGGATAATTGCTCAGAGGACATCGAGGAGTAGGGAACTGGGGAAGGGGGGGTTTCTCCCGAGCGACAAATGTCACTGAACATCTCTGGCCAGGTCACGTATTCAGAAGGCTCCCTGTAAAAGTTGGGTGGTACGAGAAAAATTCTAAGGGTAAAAAACCTATTTCACAGTGATATGTGGAGGAATTTTGCCTTGTTTACAGTGCACAAGTGACCTAATGATGCTTTATAACTACTGCGTGGGGAGAGAGGGGTTCTGGGAGTGGTTCACTACGAGAAAACATTGAAAACCCAAAGTAGGTTCTGAAGGTCTGCTTCAAAATTTAAAATAAGTTCAGTCTTCACAAGAGAGAAATAATGGAAGAGATTATGGGCTCTCTGGCCTTGTTTATTCACTGTTGAGATTGGAAAATGCCAACCTGTGTACAAAAGGAAGAGGAGCTCTCTATTAAGGTAAGAATGGACTCTGTTGCTGCTTGTCCAGCTCAGTTCCTGAGTGATGAGGAACATCAACCACACTGTGCCCCTTGGGCAGCCAAGGCAAAGCTGGGGCTGGGGCTGCAAAACTCTGGTTGTTCACACCTGCAGATGAAAGCTGAACCTTGGATACGATGGGATGTCCTGGAAAAGCTCTGGTTGTGTTAGAGAAGACCCAAGCCCAAGCAGCCTCAGCACTCCCAAATTAGCAAAGCATCTTGGAGGGTGCCACCAGTACTTGAGCCCATGGCTGAACTCATTATCACAAGTTATTGTCATCAACCCTTTGGACTCATTGACATTCTGTGAAACACCCTGAGCGTGGTCCCAGCACCAGGAACAATTAAATGTCTCAATTCTGCAGGTGTTCTCTGAAAAAAAATAGGCTTGGGGTCATGTGCTGAACAGGCAAATGGACAGAGGTGTTTGAACAGCTCCCTTTGCCTGAGTGAGAAAGGTCCTGGAGAAACTGCCCTGGTGACACCTCTGAAAACCTGTGAGAGGCCACTGGAGTTTCCACTCTTGGAATTCTTGACTATGGGATTTTAGCAGCCCTTCAATGCCCGTTGGTGTTAATTATTGTGAAATCATTGCCTTGGGGCAACTTCCTGTCTTCCATTGTAGTCTAAATGTAGTTGGGATTGATGAGACCAGCTGAGGAAGGAACTGGGAATCCTCATTGTTCAGGATGAACAAAACCAGATCTTCATTTCTCAGGAAGCCTTTTTTTTATTAACTTGCTGTGTTTTTAAGTACTTACTGAGGGGCAAGTCCTGTAAGATGGGGAAGATGCTAAAGATCTTTTCCTTTCTAATAACAGTATTGGAAGTGTGGGATAATACAGCACGTGGCACAGTGTATGGAATTGTCTAGGGCATCCTTGACAGGGTAAATCCCTGAGCAAGCTGATCTAACACTGAGCAGGGCATTAGATGAAGAACTCCACAGATCCCTCCCAACCTAGAACTTTGTATTCTCTGTTCACTGTGTTTTGGAAGTCTTTGGATACAGCTGGGAATTCAGGTGAGGACACGCTGGGCTCAGCCCCCCTCTAGTGCCCACACATCGCAGGAGCTCTGTATTTACTGCTTTATTTGAGCAAGACTGAAACCTCTAAAAGTAGCACAGCTCATGTGCAGGCCAGGGGAGAAGCTGCTGCTGGAGAATCCCCTGCCTTGTGAGTCCCTGTGAGGACTGGGCTGAGCTGGGTGTGGGGAAGGGAGGCTGTGGAGCAGCACCCAGTGCTGCGGGACAGCCCAGCCCACCCTCCTGCTCTGGGCTCCCATGGGAGGGCCCTGCTCAGCTGGGTCCTGCTCTCAGATCTTGCTGCGTGGCCCCACAAGGAGTTGTGTTGCCAGAAAAGCAGGAGAGTGCCAGGAAGAACCTGAGGCTGTGATGGGTGTCTCACAGCCCTTCCCCCTTGCTCTGTAGGTGACAGGGTCTGGTGGGTTCAGTTGGAGCTCTGGGCAGTCAGACAGGCCCTGGCTGTGGGTCTGGGCTCCCAGTTTGGGGAGTCAGCCCCCAGAACAACTCTTGGCTTCTCTGTACACCAAGTCTGGGGCCCCCTGGCAGCCACTGTTCCAGTAGTGCCCCTAAATGAGGGAGAGCTTTCTCTTGGCTGGGTGCTGCTGCCTTTCCATCTGCCTTTCCCTGGATGTTGTGAGACATCGTGCCCAGCTGGTCAGAGGTGAGAGGATCAGTCAGGAGAGTTTCCTGAGTGCTCAGGTAACTCCTCTTCAGGCAGATGTGTCCCTCTTAAGCAGTTTGTCCAGATGTTTGCAGCAACTGGGTGGTACCTTTGGACTTACTGTTGCTTTTACTGTGTTTTTACATTTTCACACAGATTAACATCACTAGCCAGGAGCTTTGGGAAGAAATGCTGTGTCTCAAAGGACTCATTGGTAAGGTTTGGTCAGCACACTGGGTTGCTCTTGTTCTGTGTTTAGAGGAATTATTAATGTTAAGGATGTTTAGTCAGTCCCTCCATTCCTCTTTCCCTGAATGGAAGGAAGAAATATTCCAACAGAGGTGAGACAAGCTGGAGGTTGTAGTCCTGTTCATGTGGGACAGTTGTCATGCAATCCAAGCAGTGCTGGTCCAGAAGCTTCTGGAGTGTCCAGTCCAGCCACTGCTTGGAACAGGACTGTCCCCAGCAAAGGAACAGCCCTGGCTCCCAAGGGTGCTCTCCCTCTGCAGTTCTCCCTAGAAAAGCTGGTCCCTCAAAGGGCACAGCCATGCCCATGTTTCTTTTGAAGGCTCCTCCACATAATTATTAGCTTGATATTTTACAATGTGATCTCATCCTCTGATCCAGCATCTCAAACCTTCCCAGGGTAGGACAGTTTCTACCTCAGAGTTGAATCCAGCCCTTCTAGTGTTTGGTCTACTGGTCTGTGTCTGAAGTGACCCATTTTCACCTCATTCTCACTCATTTTCCTGCTCACAGTTGTTGATGCATTTCAAGCCTGGTGTGGCCCGTGCAAAACAGTAGTGGATCTCTTCCAAAAAATCAGGAATGAAGTTGACAGTAATCTCCTGCATTTTGCTGTGGTAAGATCTCATTTGACGCTGCCTGCAATACCCAGTCCTCTGCAATTGGCAGGGGCCTGAAGGCTGAAGTGACTTTGTCTTTCCAATATTCAGCCCAAAGGATAACAGTGCAGGAGTTGCAGCTGCTGGGAGGGAACCTGCCAAATACAGGTGCTTGGGTTCATCTGTAAGAATTCATATAATGAAGAATTTTCAGGCTTTAATGGATCTGTCCAGATTTCTGCTTAAGCAAATAACACTGGACAGAGTTGTTAACACAAAGTCCCTCTGATGTACAGGGGGAGGCTGAAGGAGCTGGGTTTGGTCACCTAGAGAGGAAAAGGGACAGGTGTCAAGTGGGGGATGGATGGAGAAGGCAGAGACAGACATCTCTCAGTGGAACACAGCAACAGGACAGGAGAAAACGGGATAAGTTGCAGCAGGGAGAGATCCAAGTAAAGAGAAGGAAAAAGTACTCGGTGTAGGAATGGTAGGACTGGGACAAGTTCCCAGAGGTGCAGAGCTGATTCTGGGAGATGCTCAAAACTAACACAGCCTTGAACACCCTCCTGTACCACTGAGACCAGCCCTGCTTTGGGCAGTCTGGGATCAGAGCCCTTCAGAGGTCCCTCCCGACCTCAGTCCCACTGGGATTCTGTGTGTAAGTGCCTTTCCTGGCTGAAGGCAGCTCTGGATCGTGGAGAGAGCCGAGGGCAGGGAGGTTTCTCACAGCTCAGCACTCCTGCTGCTGCCTCTGCTGCCACCACAGCTCCTCCTGCCACTTCTCTGCTCATGGACAAGAGGCTCCCATTTCATTTTCCAGCCTTCTTCTGTGGGACTCACCCAGGCAAGCTGCTGGGAATAGACATTCCTGTCCCAGCAGAGCTGCTGTTCCAGCTCCTGCAGGTGAGATCTGCCTGCTTCTCAGGTCACTGCTGCTGAGCTGGGACTTGGTTGTGGCCCTGGCTCTGACCGGTGTCACTTTGTCCCCCCAAACCGGGCCCCAGAGGTGTTTCCCCGTGTGGGGGGTGAGGACCAGCCAGCTGAGGGGGGCTGAGTCCAGGCATGTGCTTCCCTGTGGAGCAGAAATGCTTTCCTAGAAACACCTGCTCTATTTCCCATTTCTTTCAGGCTGAAGTTGATTCCATCGATGCTCTGGAAAGATACAGAGGACGATGCCAGCCTGTCTTTCTGTTTTATGCTGTGAGTGAAAACGTTTTCCCAGTAGATGCACAGCAACAAACATGACCTGCTGGTGGGAACAACTGGCCTTTTGGAGGGAGATTCTATTTCTTTAATGTGTGATGAGCAAATTTTATTTGCTCTGTATCTGCTGGTGATCAAGTGCTGTGGGGATTAAAATATAGTCAGTGTGTTGCCCTGTGAGGTCGTCAGGTTCAGTCCTGCCTATGCAGGACCTCACTTCTCTCACAAACTGCTTTGCTTCTTCCTAAGACTGATGAGGAACCACAGAGAAGGTTGTTCCAAAGCTTTCCTCTTGTGGAGCAGAGCAGCTCTGTCAGGGAGGAGGGCCTGGTACAAAATGTTGTGGGTGATGTGCTGCTGGGGGGATTTCCAGGGCCCAGAGAGTACAATCTGAGCACTGACTGACTGATTTGCTTTCCACACCTTCCAGGAGGGAGAATTAGTGGCTGTTGTAAGAGGAGTGAATGCACCACTGCTGCAGAAAACCATCCTGGAACAGCTGGCAGGGGAAAGAAAGGTTTTAGAACATGGAGGAGAGCAAGTGCTGGTAATGAGTCACTAAAACCTTAAATAGCTGTAGATGTGCATGTCAGAGGAGAGGTTCAGCTCCCCAGGGCCAGCACAGCTCTAAAGCAGAGTTCCTTCCTTGCAAAAATCCCCAGCCCAGCCCCTGTGCTGAGCCGCTGCCAGAGGAGCTGGCTTTTTGTGTGTGCTCCAGACTGCTTTGGTTCTGAGGAACCAAACTGCCATACCTGTGTGTGATCTGCTACTCTGAAGGCATCCCAAAGCCTGCAGGCTCCCTCTGGTGACAATGGCTGGCCTGTTCCTGGGAAGGCTTTCCCCGGCTCTTGGTCAGCTGATGGAGAGCTCAGCCGGTGACCCCGGACAGGCAGAGCCTCTGCCCTCACTGCTGAGCTGAGCCCGACCCCGAGGGCAGCAGAGGGCTGCTCCCTGCTCAGGTGGAGCTGGGAAGGGGGGCCCTGCCTGGCAGGGGCTCACCTGGAGGGCAGGAGGACACTCGGGACCTTCCTTGCTCATCCACCCGCTCTTGCAGATGCGAGACAGAGCCAAGGAGGAGGGAAGCACAGCTGCTCTGCAGGGACAACAGCGGGAGGGCTGAACAGGTAAGGCAGGGACAGTGTAGGATGCTCTCTGTGCCTTTGGTAAGTGCCTCTGCTAAAGCTGGAACCTTCAGCCAGGGTTCAGCTCTGCTGGGGCACCACAGGGAAGATTCCTGTCCCTGGGCACAGCCCAGCTCTGCCCATCCCTGGCAGATCAGCACATGAGAGCGTCCCCTTGGAACCCGGGTAAGACACCAGGGGAGCCTGGGTGTCTGATATCCCGAAACTCAGTTATTTTTCCTTCCAGTGTGTGTTTTACTTTACATTTGACTCCCCTCACCTTCTGGCCTGGTGAGGGCTCTTTGGCTTTGTTCTGTTTCCAACACAAGCACTGAAATAGCCGCAACTGTTGCTAAACCCCCCGCCCCTCAAGTGGTTTTTAAAAGAAAACACAAACACTTGGGCACCAAATCTGGTTACACCAGCTCCTGCCTTGTTTCAATTAGCCACCTCTTCCCAAAGGCTTTGTCTCTGGTCCCAAAAGGGACATTTTTTCTAGGCTTTCCTGGGACACGTTTGTAGCCTGGGGCTGTGCACACCAAACCCCGGGAATCGCGGCAGAACCCGCCCGGCTCTGGCAGAGGCCGGTGGGTGCCGGTGGGTGCCGGGCTGTGCCTCTTTTCTTTGCTCATCACTGACATTGTCCCTTTCCTTCTCTCGGAGACTGACGGACCCCCGGGCCCGGGATCGCGGCCGGCAGCGTGGAAGAGATGCGGGGTTTGCCGATAAATAAAAGGATTAGCGGGCAGCATGGCTGGCTCGGTGTCCCTCGGTGTCCCCCCGTGTTCCCCCCGTGCCCCCCGTCCCCGGTGCCGCGCGGCCCCTTTAAGGCGGGCGCGGGGGCGGTCTCTCGGCGCTGCGGCTGCGCGGGGCGGACGCTGTGACCACGGGTTCGAGTCCCGGCGGTGCCGGCCCGGCCATGGCCGCTGCCCCGGACGGAGCGGAGCCCGAGCTGCCCACGGAACCGCCCGTGCACCGGCTCAGCGTGGCCGAGCTCGACCGTGAGCTGGACTCCCGCAGCGAGCTGGTGAGGCGCGAACCGCCGCCCAGGCGGCACGGCCGGGCCGGGGGGGCTGCTCCGGCCCGGGCGCTCCCGCAGGGCCCCGGGGCCGCTCAGGGAGGGAGCGTCCGGTCCGGTCCCCTCACACAGCCGGGAGAGAGGGGTCCGGTCCGGTCCCCTCCCCTCACACAGCCAGGAGAGAGGGGTCCGGTCCGGTCCCCTCACACAGCCGGGACGGAGGGTCGGCGGGGGGCTCCCTCAGACGGGTGTGAGGGAGGGTCGGGGGGTCCCTCGCACAGCCCCGAGGGAGGGCTGGGTCGGGTCCGGTCCCCTCACACAGCCCCGAGGGAGGGCTGGGTCGGGTCCGGTCCCCTCGCACAGCCCCGAGGGGGGGTCGGGTCGGGTCCAGTCCCCTCACACAGACCAGAGGGGGGTTCAGGGGTCCCTCACACAGCCCCGAGGGGGGCTCGGCAGGCAGGTGGGCCCAGGCTGCTCTTTGCCCGTTCCAGCACCCTGCCATGGGCTCTGTCCCAGTCACATCAAGTTCACATTCTTTGCCTGGACTAAGCAAACAGCAAACCCCCGAGCTGTACGTGGTGGGTGCCTGGTGTAGCAGGTGCATCGTCAGTCATTTAACTCCTCTCTTGCTGCAAAGCACCTGATAGTGCAATAGCGTCTTTATTCTCAGAACATCAAAAGTGCTCTATAACTGCTCCTGGAAGTAAGTCTCACACGGCCTCCAAGGAGGAAATACCCCATTCAACCAGGTGAAACTGTGAGCCCTCAGCTCTCACCGGCCTCTCTGGGCAGGGGCGTGTTGGCAGGAGTGTCTGTGTGTGGCTGCTTTTAAATATTGTTTAGTTAAAATAAACTCTGGAAGGTGGAGTAGGCAAGCTAAACTCAGTCTGTGGTTTCTGCTGTACAGATTGATGACAAAGAATTCGACATCCCTCAGGTTGATACCCCCCCCACGCTGGAGAGCATCCTGAATGAGGTGAGTGTCTGTCGGGCAGGGAAGGGCAGGCAGCACAGGCTCCTTTGGCTCCCTTCCTCCTGTGTTTTCCCGGGAAAATAAAACTGTATAACTTCATGATGTCCCGGTATTGATAGCTGGTGAAGTGCTCAGTTGAGTAATTGCTTTATCGGGTGTGACATAGAATTTTGGTTTTGTTTTTTGGTGTTTTTTTTTTTTCAATTAAAGTATCCACAGCTGCAACACATAAAAAGTTTCTATTAAGTCTAAGTACGTTCACCTGTGGATCTGGACAGTCACCTGAAGCCTATACAGTCTGTTAAAGGTCGGGGCATCAAACAGATGTTTTTAGCTAAAAGTAATTGCAGAGTTTCTGGGTAGTTCTTAAGTTGTGAGAGGAGGTGAGAACTAGATATTTAGTCCTCTGGCAGGAGCAATGAACTGTCTCAGCACCTGATGTGACTTGTAGTACCTTGCAGGGGAGAGCTGACTTTGTCTCACTTGTATCTAACTCAGTGTATTTTTTTACAGTAGCTGTGTATGAGCCCTCAAAAGGAAAAACGGCCTGAAAGTAAAGATTAACTCAAAGAAAACAAGCTTTTTAACAAAATGAGGAAATTGGTGGCTGGATTTCCTTTTCCCCTAAAGGGAGAAGGAGCCTGGGAGGGCTCATAGTTCTTTTAAAAAGCTGCATTAAAAATACAGGTGTAAGGTGCCCCAAACAGATCCAGACCAAGAATGAGAGGAGTAGTAGGGGTAGTGTACAGAGGTGTGTCCTGTTTCTGCTGGTGCCTTGGGTGACAGAGGTGGAGGGAACTGAGTAAATTTGGGTGATACCAAAGGAGATGCAGTGACAGCTGTGTCAGAGGAGCAGAATGCAAGTCTTAAACCCCGAGAGGTAATCATGAGAAAAGCGTAGTTCAGTGCAAACAAATGCAAAGTCTTACTCCAGTGCTATTGATCTCAGTTACACATGGGATGGAAATGACTGGTAAAGCACCTTTTGAGAAGGATTTTACTGGAGAACAACCTGTCTGAGCCAAAAAGGCAGAGTTGCAGTGGAAGAGGGGATGTGCAATGGGCACAGGGCTCTGCTCTCTGCTCCTCTGGCATCAGCTAGGCTGTTGTGTTTGCTCTCTCTGGCTCTGTGAGGAGAGAACACGAACTGCACCACATTTAGAAAACATCAGGAAAAATGGCTGTTTGAAAAACACTGTATTAAAAAATTCTGGGTTAAGACTGAAAGGAGAAAGATTGCCAGCAGAAGAGCACAGAGCAGAGCAAAATCAACTCTCAAAGCAGCTGGAGGGACTGCTGGGCTCTTAGGGCCACCTGGTGAAGTGCTGGAGTAGATGATGATAATTCTAGGCCTTCTCTTGGCTATTGGGAGACTTGGGAACAGCTCAGTTAAAGGTCAGTTTAAGTTTTGATGGAGTAGATATTATCTGGGGAAGGAAGATTTAGTCGAACGATTTTCTCTCCAGCCCACTCCTGTGATTATTGTGAACTCTGGAAACTGGTTCTTCCACAGGATCAGTCCAGTAAAGTAGGAAATAATTCCTGGTTTTACGTATGAGACTGTCTTGTCCTTTCCTTCATTTTTTTTTTTATTTTTTAGCTGAACTGGTGCTGTTTTGCCGACGTTTCGGTTGTGGTGCTGTGTGCTTTGAACACTTAGCAAGCTGTGGTGATTCTGTCCCCTCAGACCGATGATGAAGAGGAGTCTTTCGTTTTGGAGGATCCCTTTCTGCTGAACGTGGACAACACGGACGCGCACTCCTACGACACGTCGTCCGTGGCCAGCTCCGACAGCGGGGACCGCTCGCACCTCAAGAGGTACTGCAGCCCCAGCCCTGCCAGCTGCACCCTGGGGGTGCTGCTTAGAGCCCTTAAAAACAAATCCTCCTTTTTTCTGGCAGAACACTGTTACTCCTCCAGGGTCACGTAGGCAAAGGTGGGATTTGTTGCTGCGCTGAGGGCTGGCCTGTTTGAGTGTGCTGGTTTAAAGGGAAACCGGCAGGGGAAATGAACTCAGCTCAAAGGAGAGATTATAAGTCAGAATAACAGTTTAATAAAATAATACAATAAATACGATTATACAGGCAAACAGTTGGTTTTAACCCACAAAACCCAAATGTATGACCCAGCACCCTGGGGCATGAACAGAATGGTGTTCGTTGGGCCCCCCGAGTCCAAAGGAAAAGGAGAGGGAAAAAACCTGTTGGTGAGAGTGCTGGTGCAGTCTGGTCAAGAGTGGTGATCTGCAGTCTTCCTCTGGATCCCACGAGTGGTTAAAAAAGTCCCAAGACTCCAAGATTATATATCCTCCAGTTCAGGCAGGAATGCCCAGTGTACCTCCCTCAGGGCGGGGGGTTCCACACTGGGTGTGAGGACAGGAGCATCCTCCTCTCTCACAGGCCTCTTAACACCCAGTTCATAGCCCGAGGAGTCAGGGCTGCTCCGGGCAGAGGGTGTAAATGGTCTGTTGATAACAGTTTCTGGGCAATGGCATGGAAGGCTATAGAACACACAGTTTTGGGTTACACCCATCCAGTGGTGAACTGGTCCCAGCTGTTCTAACTAGGACATCGAGCAATAAGTGCCCAAATTTTATGGGAGACAGAATATTTCAGTTTCTCTGAGTTTTAATGAAATCTTTGTAGTGCTGAACCGTGATGACTTTAAAGAAAATCTTTCAGAGCTGTGTTTGACCTCCAGAGTGTGCCAGCAGCTGGTGGTTATTTGTGCAAGGCAAATGCTGTCACTCCTTTGAGTGGACTGCTGATGCTGACATCTAAAATGTGGTAATTAGCTCCAGTACTGCTGACCTGTTAATTACTCCAGGGATGGCCTGAGCCACTCCCATGGCTGCCTGGTGTGCTGTGGGAAGCTGTGGTTATTGCATGAGCAGTTGCACAGGATATAAACAGTCTGAATCTGGTGGTTTCTGTTGGCATATGGTGGTGTATGGATTCACTGTCCCTTCTTTTTTCGAAGAAGATGCCTTGTACTGAGAGAAATCTTACCTGTAGTGGCTTAAACATTTCCAGTACAGAGTAGGCAGAAAAACCTGGAAGTGTTCCTGTTATTTTGAGTGAGGCTGGTTGCCATGGTTATAGGTCTTTAGCCATAATATAAGTTATTAACAACATATTTCTTCATTCTATGTGTGAGCTCCTTATTTGTGCACCTCTGGAGAGATAAGAATCGGGAGTTTCCGGCTTAGTTTTGGGAATTTGGCTTTCTGGTGGTGAGCATGGCAACAAAATTGCAACTTTCCTGGAGATTTTCCCTCTGCTGTGGTTGCTGGAGTGCACCAGTGCTCTTCAGAAATAACTGTTCCTGCACATGAGTTAGTTTTAAAAGATGTTTTGTCCATAAACAGAAGCACTTAAGCTTTTGTATCAGGTGTTTTAATTGAAGGTTATTATTTAAGCATACACCCAGTTTTCCTGGGGCTCTGTGTTCTGCTGATGAACCTCTTCCAATTGTTTAGTTTTGCTTAGATTTGCTTACAGACTAAATTGTTTAGTTTTGCTTACAGACTAAAACTTCCTGGCTCACTGAAAGACTTGTTAAAGAGCTCAAGTGTTGCTTTCAGGCTTTATTAATAAATTCTGAGGTTTGCTTGAAACTGAGCATTTGTTTGAAGAACTACTTACTTTTCTCTGGGAGGTGAGTTAGAGTCAGACTGTGCAGGCAGAGCAGGCTTTGCTCATAATCCCATGTGTCATCTCATTCTGGGCCCCCAAGAATAAGAATGGAAACTGTGTGAGTT